GGCGGGTGGCAGCGACTACAACCTCAACTTCACCATTGCTTCCAACCTTCCGGGTTATTATAGGGGGACCCTTCAGTCCAATTCATCACTTTTGCCTCATATCCAGAGGTTTTCTCCTGTTGACGGATCCAATTTACCCTTCCTCTTCGGAGCGGCGACTTCTTCGGCTGCTCCACAAATGGAAAATCATCATCATTATCAGTTTTCGCCTGCATTTGACGGTCGTTTGCAACTCTGCTATGGAGGCGGAAGCCGGCAGTCGGAACAGAAAGGAAAAGAAAAGAAATGAACTCTTTGTACAGCATATTCCTCTCAGCCTATCTTCTTCCTGGTAAGCTTCAAAACTTAACAATACTCTTTTTTTGTTTCGTACGGTTCTCTTTTCCTTTTCTTTTTCGTTTGGGTTATTGTTAATTGCATTAGCTGCTTGATTTCTTCGTAGACTTCAAAAAAAGTAGAGCATTGGGCCAAGGTTTGGTTATTATTTCAAAAATAAAAAATAAAAAAATAAACCCAATAATTTTTCGATTGCTGTGAAGTGGGTCCGGTTGGCTGTGACCTAAGTTGCTTCTCTCCTCTCTTCTCATTAGCAACGAGAAGGGCTAGGCTTTCTATTAGCTGTGCCATGTGTAACTCAGTTTGTGGAAATACCGCACTTAAATAATGGAGCGGATTTCGCTTTCTACAAACGGCCGTTAATTGGCAATGCTGACACCTCGGGCTCAGCTAATGTTAGCGCCTCTTCTCGAATGGTTAGATTAGGTCTTGACTTTGGGAAACAAATGCTCTTTCCTTTTGTCTTCGGATTTGAATTTGAGAATTACGACAACCTGACTTAATACCCTAGAAGCTCCATACACACATGGATTTAGAAATGACTGCTTTCTATAGAGAACAGCAAATGACAAAAACTTATAAACCTCTATTTTTAATTATTTTACTCCATATTAGTCGAAGTCAATTTGTGATCATCACAGTTGATGAGATATTTCTTTGTATCATAACTCAAATTTTGAAGACACTGCTATTAGAAAAATAATTATATATAAAAAAAAATAGAAGTGTTATATTTGGTCAATAAAAATAAAAGTTGCACCTTTATTGTGATGAACCAAAGACGTTTGATGCATAACTTGATAGTTATCGTCTCCTCAACATATTTTTTTTTCCTAATGTTAGTATATTGAAATGTTCTTTATGTCTGAGTGTGTGGTTCTTTTCACTAATTTTAAATACACTCTAACAGTGTATTTACCTTTTTTTAGAGTAAATTTATCTAATACTTGGTGTAACTGTTTGGTTGTACTAATAACATTTAGTCTTTTTTCTTATTTGAGTATTGCAATGTTAATAAGGTAAGAATTTCAACCTCATTGGAGAATGCCATGTTATTGTTATTTGGACTAAACTATGTTAAATTCACCAATATTCTAGTTCAATTGAACTCTTCTTTTTTTCTACTTTTAATTAAATGAATTGTGTCAAGTTTCCTCGTTTGAATATAGTTTAAATTTGGGACTCCTGTTAATTAAATAATAAATTTGTTGTTGCATCATACATACCAATTAATTTGATTTTTCTTTAGTGCATTATAGATCATGGAGCCTATTTTTCTTTTTTCTTTTTCATAAAGAAACTCCATGCTGCTAGGTTATGTTATTATCAATTTTTGGAGTAATATTATACGTGCAGCTGTTCAGAAAAGACAGATTATCTAGAAATAGCTTGCATGCCATCTTACTTTCTAAATGGTCATGCTTACATCTTTAATGAACCTTTTGTGAGTGTTTGGGGAAGTTCAAGCAAACCTGTTGTAAGGACATTTCAACAGCATTTAGAGATTAGTCCCTTCGACGATCGAAGGTATTTGTCTAAGGTTTAGGTTTAGATATATTGTTTATTTGTACTATTTCTTAAATTTAAGCTAAGCACGTTCAAATGGGAGAAAGAGACGGTACCTAAAAACTTAAGCAAGCTCAAGATGGACTGTTGGGGAGATGGGATGCCTAGAAACTTTTTTTTGGGTACTTTTGTTACATTAAGAAATAATATTCTAACCAAGTTTGCTCATCAGTAATCATGGGGGTTGATATTCTATACTGAAGTTACTGAAGTTCATGGGGGTTGATATTATAAAATTACTGAAGTTCTAATTAATATTCTATACGAACAAGTCTTTTTATTCCAGAATAATTATGAAAGATCATGTCCGTCCAAAAGGAAAAATCATAGGAGAGAAGAAATATATGTAATACTCGAATTATAGAACAGGTCAGAGTAATGCTAAACATATGAGAAAATCTATAGTTTCTTAATCTTCTCGTTTGATATGGAACAAAAGATTAAAGCAGCATAATATATTGGAACCATAACCAAATTGTATAAATTATTGATGTTAAAGAATTTCTCGGCTCCTTCCTATTAAAAATTAAACCTCGACCTTGGCCCTGACCCTGACCCTGTGTTTAATAGCTTGGTTCTTTGAAACATGGTCAATTATCTGAAACCTGAAAAGAAAGAATGAGGTGTTGGGTAGTTGGATTCACTCCAACGTCAAAGCTACTTCAACTCTGTGAGTGAGGAAGAAGCTTTAGATGAGCAGGTAATTTGACAGACGACACAATCCTTAACTTTCGCAGGTAGAAATGGTGGACTGTAACATGCCCCAACATAATAATGAAAAGGGATTCGGAGTGAGTCATCAATGGAGTTTTGTAATCCTTGGCAATTGTTGTCAGTCGAGCTTGATCATATCGTGTCAAGCTTAAAATGTGCTGTGGAATTAGCACAATTTGTGTCATGAAGAAACTACATAACATTTACCTAACTTCTTCAACTTGATTCATGCTAGTCACTAACGTCGAATAGCCACTTAGAACGACTATTAAGGTGGGATATCAGGACAGATATACTTTTCCTTATGCTGCAATTGAAGAATTGAGTTCATTGATTTGAGGAGTGCTCCATTTCAATAAACTGGACCGATATAATAATAAATTAGAATTGGTTGATTAGACACTTTTCCTTGAAGCGGTTACTTGTATATATATCCTGAGGTTGGATCTATTTAGAAGAATTGAATATAATCTCCAATATAGCATTTTAGACACGACTTGAAGTGGTTACTTAGAAAGCTGCTAGATCTCTTTTAACTTGTGGACCTTCCCCGTGTCTTGTTTCTGATTGCATGTTACAAGCTTTCCTATTTTCTACTTACCAAGAAGAAAAGAAACCAAAAGGCATAATGAAAATAATGTTTGAATCATAGGAATATGAAAGCGCAAGAAGGAAGAGTGAGTAGAAGCTGAGGCAGGTACTGTTCAACTCTGTTGGTTCTGTTATTTGGTTGCTGCACAGGAGAGGTCTGAATTTAAAGCACAAAGTATTTGCTGTCTGGAGAATTCTTTTTCCAAGTTTTGATTGTAATTTCCCCTATTGTTTCACATGTGGTGTTTAAATCTTTTGATAGCCTTGCTTCGATAGCTGTTGTGTGCAGTGTTTTGAGCATTAGCAGTTTTTCCCGTATAATTTTCCCCTTCATTTGTGGATCTGTTTTGTATTGCCTTCTTGTTGGAATAAAAATCCCATCGTAAAAAAAACGTTTTCCCTTTCGTATTCTTGATTAATATGTGTGCTTTTCTGGAAGATAAGTTGGATTTTGTTTTTAATTTTCTATTTTTAAAATTTCTGCTTTTTTTTTCCCCTAATTTCATTATTATAGTTTTCACATTTCTTAATAAAACATTTAAATTTTTAGTCAAATTCCAAAAACAAAAACTAAGTTACGATCTTTAGTTTTCAAAATTTGACTCAATTTTTTATAAACCATTGGAATATTTATAAGTTTAGTATTGAAACACCAAAAATCTGAAGTGGAATAGCTATAGAATGTCCCGAGATTGAAACCATAGTTGAGTTGCTTGGCTTTGATATTTAATAAATAAATAAATAAATAAACACTTCAGCTACAAACAATTAAATGAAAAGTGGTTAATACACATTTTTATGGACTTCTGTATTTTACAGATGAACTCTCCTGTTATAGAACTTAATCTATTTTTGGCCTTGTTTAGAGTCTTTACCAACGTTCACGTCTGGGTTTAATGTTCAATGAACACTAACCATGTGTGGCTGAAGGAAATGGCCAAAACATTCCTCTGTCTTTTGCTTGCAGGCACAGGGTTTGAAAAACAGTAAGCATCATGGATCAACAGTTAAGAAGCAGAGCAGCATGGGAAGAAGCAGGTAATTGCTATCAAACTAAATGGTTTCGCATGTTTGCCCACACAATGCTCCACCTAACAATATATCTGGCTATCAAAATAGGAGAGATTAGCGTCTCCGGGCCCACCCAAATCTCCCCTTCAAAACCCATAAATAATGTACAAAAGATTCAACTTACTCTCACTCTCACTCTGCAATAAATCATTCCCAAACCCGCAATGGATAAGCACTCTACAGCGCCCCCTCTTTTAAACCTGTGCATCCCAAAGTCCTCTCTTGTTCGCTGTCCATAATTTTGCATCTAAAAGTTGCAACTGGTCGGTACTACATTCATCTAAGCTTTCAAACTTTAATGGTTCAACTAATCCTGAATGAGTGTCCATGATTTTTGGTAGTTATTTGACAAATCTCTCTCTTTTATTGAACCCTTCTCGTTTGTGGTTCAAAATCTGATAGGACATTGGCTTAAAAAGAAGAAATTCGTGTTTCAGACGAAGTCCATCTCGACCCAGAAAGTGTTTGTTCCTTCCAATGTCATTAAGTCATTAAGATTATGAAACTAAACCGATAATTTGATAGTGCATGTACTGTTACATTATAATGGATAACATCTTTTGCAAAGCTCACCAAAGCTCTAAGCTCTAAGGTTTACGATACGAGCATTTCTACCAATTCATCAACTACTAAACGGATTAACAGTGCAAGGAGAGAACCTGCAATGCAATGTGTCTATGACATTAAGGGCTGCAATGCAATGTGTCTATGACATTAAGGGCTGCAATCAATTCATAAGGATGCAATTGCTTGATAGAATGAACTACATCATATATTCACATATAAGAAACAAAACACTACAACAAGGGCTTTTACATCATCATCTCTATTTGTATTTTGCACTTTTGCAAATAGTATTATCGACCAAAGGCTAAGTAGAGAAGAGTTTCAATTATCTCACTTGTTCAAGCAGAAGTCGCCCATTCTTCAAAATCCAAAATCAACCTTGGATAGCTGAGCCTGCTGCCGTTTGATTAGGCTTCCTCAGACTTGCCAATTTGGTGATGCATGAAACCAGATGTACTCCCCTCACTATCAATCTTCCCATTATCTGGATTCCACTCTTTTGCTGATTGGGCACAAGAATTTAAAATGGTAAACAAGTGAATGAAATGAAAGCAGAATGTAGAAATTGCAAGACAAGCTATTTTGAACTAACTAACTCCTTACATTGAAGAAGAATGGTGATACTACCCTGTACTAAAAATCATGGGGAAACGACTTCATACTTCGATTAAAGACGAGGGGCATGGACAACATGTACAAATAGAAAATAAGAATCATGGGGAAACGACTTCATACTTCGATTGGATTATATACAGCAACCTCATGTTGTAAAATCGCATCTATAACTAACAACTTACCCAAGTCAACGTCCAGATTATGAGAACATGTCTCCCAACATATTGCAATATAGTTTTTTAAAGAAAAAAATCGAAGCTTACCAGCACGATTTTCAATATCAGAGAATCGTAATAATTATGTTCAACACGAACAGTAGTGATTGATTGGCCAGGTTCTTTAACAAACTTAGTGAATTAATAACTATATTTTTATTAATTTGGAAAGAGGTTTACCTCAAATCCAGTTGAAGTTTCAGAAAGAATTCATCTCAAGACAGTAAGTTCTCCTTTTCACCAGCATCTTTGCAGCGGTTGCATAAGGTTCCTCAAAAGCCTTTGAAAGCCATGACCCATCAGACACCTCTTTCTTTGTCATCGACTGCTCGCTTGGACGTATCGCAACAAGAGTTGCCCCCTTCAGCATAATCCCACCAGGCAATTCCAAGTGAGGGGCATACCAAAGCCTCATATTCAGGGCTGGAACAAGCGTTCTCTTAGAGGCAGTTGAAGCCGATAAGGGCTTTACTCTCAACTCTTCAAGCTGATCCTTGTTCATACACAACATGCCCTGTCGATCTGCGTCGGTCAGAACTAAATTGTCCAGAGTCTTATGCTCTGCAATTATCGGCTGCAGTAAATAATGCCTCGCCGAAGCTGCAATTAGTGAGCTAATCGTCCAAACAACTCTCAATTTTAGCCCTCCATTAGTATAAAACGATTCGGGTATGCTCCCGCTGTCATCAGCTGCTGCCCCATTTCCAGAGCAGAACCCATCAGTTCCATTTTCTTGCATGTTCTTACTAAAAGACCCAGCGTGAACCACCGATGCAGCACCCAGGATCACACAATTATCCAAAGTTGATCCGAAATCAGCTCGCCATTTCAACAAAATGCCGTCGTCAACACCCAATTCGCCGCTAGGAAGCTCGATTCGAAGGAATCGAATTTCGTTAAAATTCTTAAGAACTTGGGTGGGCGAGTGATGAGTCACACCATTTTGACCACTCTCCCCATCTTTTTCCCTCCCAACCGAAAGCGAAGAGGTCAACAAAGAAGACGAAGCGGAACCCAACCCAGAGGATGTCACCCGTTTCGGACCGAAGAACTGACCTAGAGCTTGAAGCGGCTTGACAATGCCTCCAAGAACCATACGGAAAAGATTAGAAAAGCCACTCCGAGACTTATCAGACGACGAAGAGGCGGAGGAGAAATCATCATCGGATATCACACAGTCAACTCGTACAATAACGTTATCAACCTGAGACACGATAGATTGGAATCTTCGTGACACTGCACAACAACGTCCAAGAGCCTTAACGTCACCAATCTTATTGAAAATCAGCAGAAGCAGAAAGTCGGGAAGACGATCAAAGTGATCACTAGGGTAGGTACAATGGCTGTAGCTCTGGCCAAAAACGCCGTCCTGTGAGGAACAAATTCTGGAGGTCGGATCGAGGCATAGATAAGAACAGGACATGGCTCAGAGTGAACAACCGATATAGCTCAGATCAGAATAAAGGAAACTGAAAAATGAAAAGCTCCGAAACAAAGAGACGAGTCAGTTTCTGAAACGGACGGCAAGAATATGACCGGAGTTTTGGCAACAGAGAGAAATTGATGAAACCCTAATTTTATATGTCAGAGGAGAGAGATAGAAAATGGTGGGATGAGATCGATCCACGATTTTGTTAACTTTTTTAATATTATTAAAAATAAAACATATTCCTCATTTCACAATTCAACAAACTATAAAATTAAACAAACAAAAAAGAATAACATATTTTTACTAATTTCAACTAATTAAGAAGTCTAATAAAATCTTCAACTAATTTAACTAATTTACCAATAAATGCTTGCAATTATGAATCAGTTAAGACTACAACAAATCACTCAAAATTACCCATCCAAACCAATATATCTTATTATCATTATTATTATATTACCTTCATATTATAATAAAAGGAAACATGTGGGAACAAGATGATGGAAAATAATATAAAGTTGTTTCTAGCAGAAATAAATAAATAAACACCCGACCACATCATTTGACTGATTTATTATTTTATGAATAATAGTGTGGATTTGTTTTCAAGTTACAATAAAACTATAATTTTTTCTTCACGTACCCCATCTATCATTAAAAAAAAAAAAAAAGAAGACTAAACACAATGTTAATCTGAATATTAGATCATAAAATAAGAAAAATGGACTTTTTGTTATTGAAACTAATTAAATAAAGAAATATAAAATTTAAAGGCAATAAATGATTTGGGGGCTGGCCTTAAATTCCTCGACCATGGATAGACAACCATATAAGCATACAATTATTGTTCAAACCATTAACCACAAAATTAACTAATTAATTTTCCTACGTACAAAATTAATTAGCAATTTAATTATCAATTAAACTATAAGATATTGAATAACAATGAGATGCTTCTAAAAAATTCTGCAACTTACCCATCTTACCTCAAAATCAAGAAATAGATGAACATTTAAGCAAATACTTTATGGGGGAAAAAAAGGCAAAAAAGCAAATATGGACAAATTTTCTAAAGTTCCTAAACTTTACTCCATTACTACGAAGAAAAGAAAAATGCTAACCATAATGCCTCACTTTCTTCTAAACTACAAGATGAGATTTGAAACATCTTAAGAACATAGGGTAAGAAGAATCAAATTCATAAGAGGCCATGAGCTGTTGAAATATATATATGAATAACCCCACTAATTTATCTCAGGCACAATTTTCCTGTTCTTCGAAAGCTAAAACTGTAAATTGTAGCAACATTTGTTTCTGAAAAGGACTCTTTTCACTCTCAAAGAATAGTTTAAATAACTAATAATCAGCAGTAAAGCAAGAAGAACATGATCCAACAATTTCAAGCATTGTAGTTGACCTACCCTTTTCTGGCTAGACTCTACATCATTCATCCTACAACTTAGTGGTAAGCACCTACCAACCCTGAAGATAAATAACTCAAGACATATATGCGTGTTCAAAAGATATTATAAACCAAAATGTTAGAGATTCAGATTCCTCTACCCTGACATGTTAAACCAACAAGAGAGTGTCTAGCTTTTGCTCCTCAGTGATTTCTCACAAATTTAAAGAATTTCCTCTAAATACAAAAGAACGGATTCAGAGATGATTATTCCTCTGCCTTTATCCTTCAATCAAATGCAAGTGGGCAATTTCAATCTAAACAAAATAATGCTACATGTACTTCATAATTTAAACAAAAAACATTATGAGCTAAGATCATTCACAAGGGATCCAACAACATGATCCACATCCATAGATTAATCCATGACTACATTTTGCTACACATTTTTCTAAATCTCTCCCTCCTAACAACAATCACATTTTCATCCAATGTCATCCTATTTGACATACCTTTCTATCCCCTTCATATTCAGACTTCGAAAAAGGGCATAATAGGATTCTAACCACATAATAATAATAAAGGGCAGGGAGTAGCCACATAACTAGAGGTTTGTTGATGAAACGCCAAAAAAAGCATTCCAGCAGTTGCACCAGCTAACATAGGCCGCAGTAAGTCACGATGCAATGCAAAGGGGTTTCATTCACCACAATAGAAAGCTAAAGGATAGACATAACAGAGGGCAACTATACTTGTGAGGCCTCCAGTTAACTAGTAAAAGAAAGCTGTCACTATACATCAGAGGGCAGCAGATCATAAATGAGATCAGTATTTATGCACTGTGGCCGAGAGTTCCCACTGCTGAAGTTACTATTTATGTAGGATTGGCCAGGGAAGAGAATAGAATGAAGTGCTAAGACATCAAAGTCCAGTATAGCACAAGCAACTATAGGTTTTAATGCGCTGCATTTTCCTAAGTCCAGGGCAAAATATCAGACATCCTAATTTTAACATGGAGGAAAACATATGCAATAATTACACCATCAATGCTTTCTGAAAACAGCCTAGTGATCATAGTGATTATCAATCTTCAGCAATGTACAAAGGCAGCAGATCTTGCACCAGGAACTAGATACAGGAGGGTGGAAAATCCCATCACCATAACGTCACAGTTCACTAGAAACTAAATACCGCAGATCTTCCTAAGGCTCAATCAAAATATGGTAGCGGAGTGGGGAGGGTAAGATGGAAGTTAATATCAAGATAGGGCCAACTTTTTGGCTCTAGAGTGCAAACTGAAATTGTCAACATGGAAGATGGTTTGGCACATATTAGAAAATCACAAATGAGATAATTTGATATAATCAATTCAGGAGAGAAGTTATTGTGCCATCAACTACGATAAAAGAGGAAGAAACTTCAAACTTCGATTGGTTAGGTTTACTCTCATGCATTCATATAATTTCTTTGCATAAACATTCCCACAAGGAAAATTTCTTAGAAGGCATCAAAGAATCTACACAAGATGATCTAGGGCATGGAAACATTTTACTGTATCTCTTACATACCCTAATGGAGTAAGCCTAACCGCTCATTCTTCAGTAATTCCTCTTTGAAATTAGTAATTTTATTGGCTAGGAAATAAAACAATGTCATTAAAATAATGAAGTAGACCAAAAGAGAACATAAGAAAAGGATTGAGTTGCACGTGAAAGCTCTACGATTGACTACTACAGTAAAAGAGTGATTACAAAAGGAATTGGAAACAAGGAAAAAGTTAGCGGATAAAAGTTGTGTTTTGAAAAGTAAAAAAATCAGGTATAAATGTGCTTGTATGCGGTTAAAAATTTGTTAGGTAGTTGTTTTCCTGTTTGGAATATATTTTTGTTTCAAATAAAAAGTGTAAAAAATATAATAACTTTTATCATGTTCTTGAGAGATAAAAATTGAAAGAAACAAAGACGAGATCCTACCAAATTAAAACTTTGAGAACATTACGGAAAAACATTTTAAAACAATTTTTGAAAAATGTTCCATACTGTACAGGCACTTGTTTTCAGGTAAATGTGGAATTACTGTAGAAAGATAGAACTAATCTCTCTTTCACATCAACCTAAGACATTGGGCTAAACTTCCCTCCAGAAGTGAAGAGCACCAAACCCCCTTGCTCCTCCCAATGAGAATGCTCTAAAAATAATTCTCACAAGAAAATGGAATCAGCATATTATTAGGGAATCAGTATTCAGGGAGTGAACCTTCTCATGTCCAATGAATTTCAGGCCCAGTTCTGCAGAGCATATATTATGGAATTTTCACAGTTGGCTATTAAATAAAGGGCATGAGGGAAGGAAAAATATCAAACAGAGGTAAGAAAACAGAGTTTATGATGCTATTTAGCACCTACCTACCGAGATGGTAGGAACCGTGTCATGAAGTACAGAACAAGGAATCATAATAGAAACTTCTTTGATGAAAACTTCAGTTGGTTCTGGAAATAATCTCTTCTATTGAGGTGACTTGTCATAGTTATAAAGATCTATAATAGGCAAGAGCAATACCAACTGCATTGAGAATAATGATCAATGCTTGAGAACTTCTTCCACCAAGAAACTGAGTAGGAGATAGAATGGACAGAAAAATATCGCACACAGTTATAAGATTGAGAATAACGACCATACTGGAACCCATCTGGCATAATCATCATATAATGTGAGTACGACAGCATTGGAAATGAGATGAAATCCCAACTGATAAAAGATAAGGCCAGACATACAAGTACGAAAGGAAAGATCCTATACGTTCTAAGAATCCACAGAAGAATAGATTAAGAAACAAAAGCTCTAGGAACCCTAGATATGAATCAGCTGTAGGTCCTCCCATTTCATCCTGACAAGCATTTAATGGGGAAAAAAACTCAAGAACTTGAATGCGAGAGGAGGTACCCTCTCCAGAACTGAACCTAGGGAGATCTACGGAGGATGAACTAAAATGGAAGATTTACATCTAGTAACCTTCAAACATAAGGTCATCTTCCTTCTCATGTAGCCATTATAAATGCCTGAATCAAGTTTTCAGCTGTGCGCTTCTGTTCAGATGTACCAGATATAAGAGCAATACGATCACCTCGAGATGACTTAGAGTCTGAAATCTCTATCAGCGCTCCTGATATCTGAACAATGAACAAGAATGTTATACACTCACTACTCAAAAATGCCACATAACAAAAGAATAAGCATTGCAAGGGTTAATTTTTCAATATCTTAGAAGTTTTTAGACCAATTTAAACTACCTAGACAAAGGAGTTGGTGGTAAAAGTGTTTCACTAATCCCAAAAGCTTTTCCAAACATTCTAAAAGTCTAAGAAATATGCGAGAACAAACGTGATGTGTGTCATGGAGAAGAGAAAAGGCTATTTTCTAACATTAAGACATTAAAACAACAGAAAATTCAAATTTAGTTATTATTGAAGCACATTGGGTATATTTTTACACATTCCAATCTTTCAAGCATACTAATGTAATGATGTAAGGTTTCTAACAACCAACATCTTTCTGTTCTAATAGCTTTACTCAACTTAATTCATCTGATAACCTAAAATTTTAACACCTGATGCATCACAAAGCCTATCATGCAACGGCACATCTCTGCTTCTTAGAAAGCAGAGTCTTCAGAACAACAGAGAAAAAAGTTCCACATCCTCTGTAAGAAAATCTAAAACCTAAAAATGAAAAAAAGAAAATAAATACTATCCAAGTGGGAGATTGGAGAACAGGGAATTCTTTCACTTTTTCATCATACATGTACATATACTTGGAATGACATTAGAACTGTTTTCCAATTGACCGAAGTAAGAAATATGTAATTAAAAAAAGAAAAAAAAAAAGAAATCATTCCTTGAATATACCTAGCATCTTCACACAAAAATAGTCGTAGAAAAATTGAAAGAATATCAATAATTGTAAAATGAAGACAGCAAATAAACCAACCTTCCTAATGTTGGCGATATTAGCCCCTCCTTTTCCAATAACCTTACCAGCGGCATTTGCTGGGATCAACATCTCAAGAGAAGATGGAGGAGGCAGCCTACACATAAAAACAATAACTGTAAACATGTTGCTTACAATTTGATACATAAACTAAATAAATTAAACAAAAACATGTCGCAATTTTAAATAAAATAAGGTGGACACTGACCCTCCATACAACTTGGATGAATATGAGGGCATGGATCCATAGCCATTGTCTCCCATCTGATACAAGTACAAAAAGGTTTTAATGTGCCAGAAAAGATCAGAAAGTGGAACAGATAAATCCCTTCAATATCACCAGAAAGATATACACCACAGATAATGATAATAAATGATCTTGCTCTCTCCCAAAAAGATAAAAACACAGATACCCATATCGAAGTTGAAGCTGTGCATCTCCCTCAATCATTGCATTTTGACAAATGTTGACCTCATCATCTAATTGGTACTAAGCATTTGTGTTTTTCAAAAAAGACTTGAGTAACGATTCTATTACTGTTTGCAAAAAGAAAGGTACTGATGTGCTGCAATCAATAAAAGTTCGGCTTATGACACCTACCGACAGTGATCCATATCCATATATGCTACTTGAAGAGAGAGCGCCTAAACCGCTTCCACTTTCAGCCCTCTGATCATAGCCCATTGGTGGAGCACCAGGAGAAACAGAAGGCAATACAGATGGCATCGAAAAACTGGAACCAGATGAATACATGGAATCAGTACCGACAGCAAGGTTATGACCAACATCCCTCTCTTTCAAAGCATCATCACGAAGCCTTAACACGATCTGGACCAATGCATCTCTCACACTGCCAACATTACCGGTTACCTGCAAAAATACATTCAAAAATAAAAAGTGCAAGGAAAAACTGCATAAAGCATTCAGGACTAATTAACATTCATAAAGCAAACCTCAACAAGTTCATCATTGGCAGCAGCACACTTAATTTTGTCACCCTTAGAAATACGGATATCAGCTCTAGATGACTTCCGAATCTCATTGATGATTGAACCACTTTTTCCAATAATACAACCAATAACTTTAGATGGAACAAGTAGTCGCATGATCACCATTCCACCTTCATCATCATTAATCTTCTCTTGCAGCAATAACACGGTTTCAACGGCCATTGATTTCAGATCATCCAAATACTGAAAAAAGACATGAAAAATCAAGATCGTCGATGTATTATTTAAAATAAATAATCGGTTCCAACATGAATGAGAATGCAAATAAAAGAACCAAACAGCAAGCTAATGCTCCACACATAGTAAGCAAGTTGAATATCATGTTACAAATTGATTGACGACTTGTGATGCCAATATTTCAGATAAGACAAAGGGTACGGTACAAAGTGAGAGAAGGTCAAATCTTCTTATTTCTTGAATAGAAATGTATTCTGGAATTCTACTACGTTTGATATGTAGAATGTCAGTTCCCATTCTTCCATATTCGTTTTGCAATAAAATTATCAAGACACTTTTCAAATTTTGCAACCAATGTAGAATTGTGCATATTCATGTTTTGATTTTATTCCAAATTCTGCAAATAAGCCCACCTTCAAAATGGTATATAGAAGACCAACATGCAATCAAAGACATTGGATGAATAGAGCTCTTTTTTTCTCTTATGAAAGAAGTGATAGTACCTCAAATGACGAGATAGTGATTAAGCATTCATCACAATCACGCTTGGAATCATCAACTTCCACACAAGCGCCGCTAGCTTGCCTTATGCTTTTAATGGTACCCCCACCCTTACCAATGACACGGCCAATGTTATCAAGGGGGCATAATAATCTAACCACCAATTCCTCCGATGGAGGATGACTGCTAATACTAGAAACCATAGGAAGAGCAGATGAATAGAGAGGCCATGCATTCCCAGTATCAGGGTAATCATGAAGATCCTGGACATGTTGGGCACCAAGCATCGGTGGAATAGATCTGGGAGGAAGAATGGGATCTGCACTTGGATATAGTCCTCCTGTTGAATACAGAGGAACATCTGACGGGATAATTATACTAGGAGGGGCTTCATTTACATTTGTATCAAGAGGAATCTCTTCTCTAGGAGGAAACTTATACATAATTGAAGATATTGCAAATAGTGCCCGTCTTACTCCATCAGGGTCACCAGCTATCTAATTAAAAGAAAAAACAATGGTATTGTAGGTCAGCAAACAGCACCACAAAATTATTGGAACAGAAACGTCCATTCAGGATTCAATGTTTGAAGCATGATGAACATAAAAGATGCTACACGACAATATCAAAAGTGATGATTAATTAGTTCACATGAAAAATACGAATGGATATATCACATTGGAGTTACATAATATCAACAGCGATATTAAATAAAAATTGGAAAGAGAGCCAAATAAACAAACCATGACGAAATTGTCAAATTCCATTGCACATGAGTGAATTGGATCAGAGGCATCCTTGGGGATGATTCTTATACTAGTCCTTGTCTTGCTTCTAAGCTTTTTAATAGTTGATCCTGCTTTACCAATGACATTAGCAGATTGGCTCGAAGGGATGAGAACTTGGCATTGTTCCTTATCCCTCAGATTCCTGTCTAAATCTCCAGCAGAAGCCAGCGCATTGGAAATAGCAGCATGAATTTTAAGAAGAGCATCCTGGGCTGCACATAATGTTTGTCTGTCATTGAACTCATCATCAATGTCCACATCCTCCCTATCCTTGACAAAGCAGAATATTGTTATAACACGGTCCTTGGCACCAGGAAATGGATCAACCACCTTAATCTTTGCCCTTGTTTCTTGTCTTATTGAGTTTATCACTTTCCCACTCTTACCAATAACACTTCCAATGACCTCATCAGGGCACAGTATTCGGTAAACGACCAGTTCATCACTAACCCAATCATCTTGGTCGGTAATCCGTCTCTTGTGGCTCTTATTGTCTCCATTGTTGTCCCTCTGACCATAAGATCGCTTCCCACTCACCATTATAGAAATTCAATTACCTGCAGCCGCAAAAAAAAAAACAACAACAAATGAACAATCTGCTGAAAATAAACTCAATCAAGTTTTCTTGTTTTTATTACATGAAAACCAATAAAATGTAATTGTCATATTCGATCCTAGTAACCAGTCAAGAAACGTAGCACTGCCCCCCCCCCCCCCCCCCCCCCCCCCCTTAGAGAGAAAAAATTAGGGCTTCCACCAAAACCAAAATAGTCCAATGGATCATGTAGCGGTAAAGACACTGGTCAAAGCACGACTAATCTTGAAAACCATCAACACGTTTCCTAAACTAGCGTTTATAGGGTAATTGGAGGGAAAAGGAAAACACTAATTCACAGAGCTAAAAGAATCGCCATGAATATGACAAAGAAAAAACAAACGGAAGAAAGTACCTCGGCGAAGAAACGAAATAGCTGCACCACCACGGACAGAGGCCGCCGATGTTGCGATGATTGGAGTTACGACACAACGAGGGTTTACAATACCCGCCCTTTCTATTTTTTGGGTACTTAATTGTTCTATTGTTCCCGAAAGTCGTCACTTCGTGAGTTATCCGCGAGAGTGAGATCTCGGCCGTTGGATGTTCTGACCTTTCGTTGACATCTGGACGATATCTTCGATCGGATGGTTATTAATTTCTGTCGTTTTTACGGTCCGCTGCAGCCGCATGCAACCGATGGGCCATATACATACTGGAAATGGCGCGCTTTGTATAATGGACTGAAGATCGTGTAATTTTTTTTTTTTTTTTTCTCTTTTAACTCCACATTATATCGTTGCAGATGGGTTGCTACTGAGGATTCAATCCTTAACGAACGTTAAAGTCGCGGTTGAGCGTGAGTGTCAACGTTCTAGATGAGTTACAGTAACGGGTAAGAGTTTGACGACGAGACTCGTTGAATGCTAGATTGTGTGAGTCGATCATCAATGTGTTGAGTGTGATCATCAGGCCTAGCTCTGTGGTGTGGCTACGTGGGTTAACTAACAAAGTACGAAAGTAAGAGATAAAGGAGGGTGACTTGACATAGGGTTACATGAAGCTCAAGGCTTGTGTTATATGTTAGGGAGATCAAAGTGTGTCCTTTGTAAGTTTTATGGGCTTCCTCCAGGAGATATTTTTACACCTTTGTAGATAATGTTTCGTTTTCTTCTCCGATCAACATGAGATTTCACAATCCACCCCCTCCTTAGACGCCAGTGTCCTCACTGGCACACTACCCTCGTGTTTGACTCTGATATCATATGTAAAAGTCTAATCATACTATTAATAGATATTATACACTTGAAGTTTTATCTTTCGAGCTTTCCCTCAAAATTTTAAAACAAATTCGTTAAAGAGAGTTCGTTTTTCTCTCTACCTATTAATTGAAAAATTCAATAAAATTTAATTTAAGTTTAGTGGTCGAAATTGTTCTGAGTCATCCAAATATTTATAGAATTCTAACGAGTCATGTTTTTGTGGTATAATAACAAATATGGATAAAAGATACCAACACTAGTTTTATATTTGTCCCATTATTACTTTGTTTTTAATTTCCTTTTGAACATGGTTAGTTACTTAATCAACCCATTGATTTCATTATAACATTTTATTAAAATAGACCAATAACATTTTACTAAAATATTACTTATTTCATTATAAAATATAAAGTTTGTTCATGATTGTGACTACTTATTTATTGAAAACATAGTAATTATCCAACGTACTGATTATTTATAATTACCATTTTATTAAAATTTATTTAATCATCTAATTTTTAATATTAATAATTTAAAATTAAATTAATTATTCAACCTAATAAAAATAAACCAACTATAAAAAATTAATCATCTACTAGATATTTTTTATTTACATGAAATCTTAATAAGTAGACATTTTATTCTTAGGATGATATTCGGAAGCATATTATTGTGCATTTTATACATTTACAAGTATACTAAAAATATAATTGAAAAAAAAAAAAGACAGAAAATTGAGGAAACTTGAAAGAAACGGAAGTTTCAGAAACAGATGTCCGAATCGATGTTTAAATCTGTTAACCATTTCCCTTTTGATCTGGAGGAAGGAACGGTCCGCGTCCACACAAAGTCATAGTTTCCGATTGATTTGAGAAATTTGAGTGAAACAGATTTGGTCTGTAACGCTCACCTTCAAAATCCAATCCAAATAATGTGGTGTTGATCCCACCTCTTTTGTCTTAACCTTCAATACGATCACGGCATTCCTCTATCGCTCTTATATTATATTTCTTCTTTCTTTTTTGCACTATCCATTTGTAGACCTCAATCTCTCCCTCCTTCGCTCTTCGTTGTTATCTTTAACCCATCTTCATCACTTCGCTTCATCCATTTTCACTGCCGCATAGAAGGGTACGCTCTCTCTTTCATCTGTTCTTCTGCAATTTCTTGTTTGCCCATCTTCTTTCATCTGGGATTTTGTGGTACTCATTCATCCGTGTCTTCCGAGTTTTGTGTTTCATGTAGTTCTTAATGTTTCTACTCTGTTTCTTCATATGGGTTTGGGTTATTTTAGACTGATTTTTACGTATGTTATTTGAATTTGCTTTTGGTGATGATGGGTGGGCTTGTTTTCTGTTTCATTCTTTATTTATCGATGGAACTTGAATGAACGGAATCTGATAACTGGTTTACTTGTTAATCAATGGTTATTTGATATGGTATCTGTGAGATCCAACATTGCAACCTTCTTTATTGCAACATTCCAAGGGTGTGGAAACCTCTTCCTAGCCCGTTTTAAAACCTTGGGAAAAGCCCAACAAGTAAAAGGTAGAGCACGAAGAGGACAATATCTGCTAGCGTAGGTTTAGGGTTTAGAGTATTAGAGCCACATGAGACGGTGTGCAACAAGGACTGAGGAGTGGACATGAGGCAGTGTGCAGCAAGGATGTTGGGCCCCGAAGGGAGTGGATTTGGTGGGGGGCCCATTGATTCGAGAAAAGAACGAGTCCTAGCAAGGACGTTGGGCCCCGAAAGGGGGTGGATTGTGAGATCCCACATCGGTTGGCTTGAGCTGTTACGGTATCAGCCATCTCAAACATCAATCATACATTCCTTTTCTTGTGGATTCTGTACTATTATGTTTTAAATGTTAATTTCTCGTTCTTGATGAGAATCATTGCTTCACCCCCTTTCACTGTCGTAATTGTTTGAGTTTGGAGAATTCTGATGTCAAACATTTGAGATCGTTTCAATTGCTGGGCTTTGAATTCATTTCTGTCTTTCTTATATACAGTTGTGAGTACTCTGTTTGAAAGATGGAGATTACCAATGTCACTGAGTATGAGGCTATTGCAAAGGAGAAGTTGCCAAAGATGGTATATGACTACTACGCATCTGGTGCTGAAGACCAGTGGACCCTGAAGGAGAACCGCAATGCCTTTTCCAGGATTTTGTACGTTCCTTTTCATACCCACCAGTTCTTTTCAATATCTGTTCTTGAAGCAAGGACTTAATCAATATCTGTTCTTACAACAGCTCTAAAAAATGTTTCAAAAACTACTTATATCTAACAGTTGCTAAGTTTCATTGACACAGATTCCGTCCCCGTATTCTTATCGACGTAAGTAAGATAGACATGTCTACGACTGTGCTGGGATTCAAAATTTCAATGCCTATTATGATTGCTCCAACTGCCATGCAAAAGATGGCTCACCCTGAAGGTAAAAACTACTTTTATGGCGTATAAATCTTTTTGGTCACCCACAGACTTCTTAGTTGCATTTCGAGATTAGTCGTTCCATTATATTTGAACGAGAAAATTCAAGATCAAGATGAAATGTATCCATCAGAGAAACAAATCGTGCTTATTTGTGCTGACTTGCGTTTCCGTTCTTTCGAGAACGAGACTATTTTGATCTGAATGATTGCTGTTTCGATGCAGGGGAGTATGCAACCGCCCGAGCAGCATCTGCAGCAGGCACTATTATGGTTTAAATTTCTTTTTCTGAACCTAAAGTTTCATTATTCTCTTAGTATATGATCTTGACTTAGGATTAGTTAAGGACTTTATTTCTATGCTTGATTCAAGTGGTTCTTGAATTGTTTCAGACCCTTTCCTCGTGGGCTACCTCTAGTGTGGAAGAAGTTGCCTCCACTGGACCTGGCATTCGTTTCTTCCAGCTATATGTAAGTAAATAGTTTTCAAGAACAATAAGGAACAGCTTTTTATTTTACCAGCCAACTATTTACTGCTTCGTTTGTCTCGAATGTTTGGTCATAATCCACATCCAAATTCGCGTTATTGCTTATTCAGGTGTACAAGGATAGAAACGTGGTGGCGCAACTTGTGAGAAGAGCTGAAAAAGCTGGATTCAAAGCCATTGCCCTGACTGTGGACACTCCAAGGCTTGGTCGCAGGGAAGCTGATATCAAGAACAGGTGCGTTTGGATTCGTTGAGCCAGCTGGTATCGTTTCGGGTATCTCATAAACCTTGTCATCAAATGTTCTCACACATTGATGGCTTTTGGTGCAGATTTACTTTGCCACCATTTTTGACATTGAAGAACTTTGAGGGATTGGATCTTGGTAAAATGGACCAGGTAAGAGTGAAATGCCACTCCGTGCTGAGTTCTACGTCCATCAACTAAATCCTTGATAACGTTTTCTTTCTCGGTTGGGCTGTGTTTTCTTTGCAGGCAGACGACTCTGGACTTGCCTCATATGTTGCGGGGCAGATCGACCGTACTCTCAGCTGGCAGGTAACTAAAAAAAACGTCGAAGTTAAAAAAGACAATGTTATTATTATTATTACAGGATAGCTTATTTATACATTTACTTACAGGATGTGAAGTGGCTGCAGACCATCACCAAGTTGCCAATTCTAGTGAAGGGTGTACTTACTGCTGAGGACAGTAAGTAAAAACAGCAAAAACAAGACATAATCGTTTGATTCTATTCAAATCAATGTTTTTTCTATTAGTGTAATCTGATGTTTGCCCTCCAAATTGCAGCAAGGATCGCCGTTCAAAGTGGAGCTGCTGGAATTATTGTTTCAAATCATGGAGCTCGCCAACTCGACTATGTCCCTGCAACCATCATGGCTTTAGAAGAGGTACTTGATATGTAACGGCCCAAACCCATCGCTAGTAGATATTGTCCGCTTTGACCTTTTACATATTGTTGTTAGCTTCACGGTTCTAAAATGCATCTACTATGGAGAGGGTCTAGCCCTACTCCCCTCGCACCGTCCGGCGATTGGCTCTAATACCATTTATAACCGCCTCAGTCCACCGCTATTAGATATTGTCCGTTTTAGCCGTTATATATTTCCGTCAGCCTCATGATTTTAAAACGCGTCTGTTAGGGAGAAGTTTCTCCACCCTTAGGAATGCTTCGTTCTCCTCTCCAACTCATATGAGATCTCACATGGTACAATTGCACAGTACTAATACCAAACATGTGGGGTTGTCTTTTGAGCTATGATCACTGTCCAATACTCCGATTTCAGGTTGTCAAAGCTGCTAGAGGCGAAGTTCCTGTTTTCTTGGACGGCGGTGTTCGGCGTGGAACAGACGTTTTCAAAGCATTAGCACTCGGCGCATCTGGCATATTTGTAAGTAAAATAACCGCATGCACACACGTACGCATCAGATGATTCACTTAACAAGTATCGTGTTCATCAATGTTAGATTGGGAGGCCAGTGGTGTTCTCTTTGGCAGCAGAGGGCGAGGCTGGTGTGAGGAAAGTTCTTCAGATGCTGCGTGACGAGTTTGAGCTGACAATGGCGTTGAGCGGGTGCCGCTCACTTCAGGAGATCACACGCAACCACATTGTAGCCGACTGGGACACTCCTCGTGTCGTACCGAGGCTATGAGAGATGGTTGTGTTGTGTATGCAAGCAAGGAACAGCAATTGGCAGTGTTGAATTCTTGGGGTTCTGATATTATAGCATATGAACGATGCTCTGTTATGATAAGCATATGTGATGTCTTCTTGAATGGGATATTACATTCATCCTATATTGTTTCTGTTGCCAATAATGGAAAAAAGGTATTTTGAATTTAAATTTAAGCTATCAATTAATTTTTTAAAATATCTATTTTATCATTAATCTAATAAACTCAAAATTAAAAAATTAAAAAGTTAAATATGTTAAATACTTTTAAAATTTAAAATTTAGAAACTAAAGTTAGACGCTTACGTGGACTTGTGGAAAATAAGAGAAATTTGATTAAAAAAACGTTTTAAAAAAGATTAATAATGCAACCAACTACGTCCCTTTTCTCCTACGCGTTCCCTCTGTGGGCCCCACCCACCACTTTAATTATCCCTCCTATTTTACTCATTTTTTACGCTTCCATTTATTTTATTTTATTTTATTTTCCACGCACTTTTAAAATAAAACATTTTAAAAAATTCATAAAACTATTATTTATTGGAGGAGATATTTGATTATTTAAAATTTTTATCAACCATTGTGATATTAAGATTATTCTCACTTTAACTATAGTCTCAATTCTTTCGTATATTCTTACCTAAATGTGCTGCGTATATCTTTATCTACGTGTCAAATAACAATTAACAAATGAAAGAAATTAATATAGAAGCTGAGGAAAAAAATAAAACAGCAGAAGCAAATAATAGTAATTTACAAAAGGCCATACATATAATTGAAAGAAAAAGGGTGGAATGAATTAAGAAGCAGAAATGGTAATTTTTAGTTGTCTCCGTTGTTGTAATAATTCTGTGGTGGAGAAGTGGGTTGGGCTCTATGCTTCCTCTTCTGCAGAAATCTTTGCAGCGATCTCTTCATCAACAGCCCCGGGGTGGTCGGAGTTACAGGCGCCGGAGACTGCTGTAGTATCGGCCACGGCGTTTCGTTCGGACCCTTCTCCTCCATTTCTCTAGTCGCCAACTTTAAAATCGCTATGGCCTGCAATAATCCTCCCTTGTAAAATCATAAATTTGTTGAAGTAAAAGAATATATTTTCATCCGTGCAAGATCAAAAACAATAGGTGGATTCAAGGTCATGTCCTTCACTTATTCATATCAATTGAATCCTGTTGGGAGGTGTGATAAAAAAACTACTCTGTATTTTGTATTTTTTTCAAATGCTCAAAATTAATATGAGTATATTTGAGGGAAAGAGTAGGTTCATTTTAAGGAAACAAAAGAAAAGCTTTTCATCTAAGACGACATGTCAACAAACCCGAACGCGGTGTCGACTTCATGACAGAAGCCAACCCACGCGTAGTGTCGCGTGAAGAATTCATATTGAACGACGATTTTAGTTGGAAAGAAAAGTTACACATCCAATCCAATCAATGGACGTCACGTGGATTTTCAGAAGAAAGGCAACCCGGGTGTAGGAAAGTTCCGTACTACGCAGCAGCAAAAAAAAAAAAGAAAAAAAGAAAAAAAAGATGTTGGTTTCGTTTTGTCACCTGAAGCTCTGTAGCGTCACAGACGCAGATCCGGCCGTTGTAGAAGATGGTGAGTTGTTGGCTTTGAGGGTTGGCGTTAGGGGCGGCGACGGCGGCGATAGCGGAGGAGGTGGGAGAAAGACGAAGTTCCAGGTTGCAGTTTCGCCTCATTCTGAGAGAGGAGTTAGTTTTCATGACAATAGGGCTCTGAAGTAGTAGTAGTAATAATAATAATAATAATAATAATAGAAATGGGATTGGGATTGGGAGGTCGCCTTCTTTCTCTTTATATAATTTGAAGAAATGTACGGTTTTTTAAGAATGGTTTGGCCGAAAAAAGAAAAAGGAAAAAGAAGGAGCTGCAGTGCTTGACGGGAGCGGTGGAATACGGTGTCGTTTTAGGAAGATAAATAAGCACGTTATAAATGACTCTTCTTCATACCACAACTTGATGAACCATGTTTCACTCAAAGTCGCTATATTGTATTCGGTAGCATCCCAATGCTACTTATGGTGTTTTGACGCTATCCACAAAATTTTAAAATGAACGCAGGCTATAATTATATATTATTTCCAGTCAAAAAAAAAAAAAAAAAATCACCTTCGAACAGGAAATTTCATATATTGATTTATGCATAATTATCAAAGTATTGGAATATTTTTAGTAGGCTCAGGACGAGAGTGAAGATCACAAAGGGAACAAAGACCTCGCACGACCAAATATATATATATATTTATTTATTTTTATAAAAAATCATTAATATCCTTCAAATTTTTTTAAAAAATAAAAAATATCATTAAAAATTCTTTGCTCGGATTAATTAACTTATTATTTTTTTGATTGAATACTGTTATTTTAGTATAATTTTATAATTATTTTGATTACCCTTTTAAATATATATTTCAACGGCATTTTTAATATTTTATACTCTCCCACATAATGGTGAACTATTATGAAAAAAATGGGTAAAGCATTATGATAATGAAGTTAGGTGTAATATAATAGTTGAAAATTAAGTGCGATAATGGAAAAGAATCATACATTAATTATCTTGAATATATTCATAAACGTGTTTCACGTATAAAGCTTAATTTTAATTTTTTTTTATCATAAATAAACAACAGATGAGAAAAGTTATTATAATTATTCCCTCTAGTTTTCAATAAATTATGGATTTTTGATCGTAAAAAGAAACAAAAAAAAAAAGGAAATATTATTATTATTTAGTTAAAAAAAAAGGCCGAGTTTGGGGGGAAAGAAATAATTTGGTAGGGTGATAAAGACGGGAATACAAAAAAAAAAGAAGCAAGTGGCCAAAATAAAGCCTTATCCTCCCAAATTAGGGGACCCAACAACAAAATGTGTGCGAATTTTACACGTGCCGCCTCAGACCTTTTTTTTTTTAGGTTGCTTTACTTTATTCTTTCTTACCTCGTTTTTTTTGTGTTTATTTCTTTAAAAAAAAAAAAGAAAAAAAGATAAAAGATAAAAGAATATTTTTTCCTATTATTTTTAAATTCACACTATTTACTTGCCCTCGATGGTATCTCACTATTTATTTTTTTAAAAAAATTTGAAATCTATTATTTTTTCTTTCTTATTTGATTTATTAATTATTTTGTTATTTAGTAGCAACTACAATCTCAAATAAGTTTTTATTTTAATTTGATTCCTATCATTTTAAAAATTTACATTTAATACATAGCTTAAAACTTGAACTCCGAACTCTATCATTTCAAAAATTTCAATGTCGTTCTTCACGTTCAATCAAACAAAACCTCACAAATTGTCAGACATTGTAATCTTAAATACGTAGAATATTTCTATACATAAGACAATAAACTAGGAGTGCAGTTCGATTGTATTACAAAGACAGAACTAAGTAAAAAATGACTTGAAAACAGCTTCGTACATTTAACCAACCCAACGAAAGAGGTCAAATTAAAGCTAATAAACTGAATTAAAATTCTGGGATCAAATTTGTCATTAAACAAATGGCTCATTGTTTCAATCAAACAATGGATGGGTGTTGGGAGGGTGAGAGACAAGGGAGATTATTTCATTGTTATATTCAAAATGTAGTGGAAAATGAACTCACGAGCTAGTAAGTAACTACACCAGCAGAGGAGTAGAATTAAGCCCAAGGCCACTTGGCCTTTGTCCAAATGAACTCACGAGCTGCATTCTCACTCTCACAATGGACTATGTCATTCCCTCTTTTCAGTTCTTGATGTTTATTTTCGTTCGATCCAATTCCCTGGCAGCATTGAAGTTGTTGATCACGAATTGTAGCATCTGTCTTGTATGAAGGGTTGGTATACCTTGGGTGTTGAAGAAATTGTACACCTTTCCACCATAGCTTGAAAGCCTGGGGATCAGAAACAAACCACAGTCAGAATCAAGAAGATAATAGAGGTAAACTGACCAAATGTTGGGCATAATAGAAGACAGAGCCAGCTTTCAGCCAAATGGTTAAGGGTTCAACACCTTGCAGGTGACCTACTAGGGGTATGGTTGTAAACATTTCCCAAGTCTCACAAGCTTTAAAAGGTGAAAATTCAAGCACTATTATTAGACATGGAAAGAAGTGAGAGGATCATATAGTGCAAACATAACCTATTCAGGCTCTCATATGTGATGACATGACAATGATGCAATGAAGGCCTCACTCAGTACTTCGAAGTCTGTATGTCCCTAAAGCACGAACACCATACAAGGCCGTGGCAACCTTAAAATAGTGAGGATATTCTCAACAAGGAGCCAGATAAATAATACGGCCTTGAGATTGAGATATTGGCAGGGATTCATCATATGAAGCAGATAGCTTTTGTTGGAGGAAGAGCCATAGTGGAATCTATTGGTTGCAAGGGGTCGAGTAGTGGGGGAAAGGAGAAGAAATGAGGTTGGATTTTCAAACTAGACTTGGAAATGGCATCGAGATTTTCTTTGAAGAAATGAAAAGAACAAGATTTTCCTCCAAGTGGTTAATGTGGTCAAACGCAAGACTCTTGGTCTTTCTTTAAGAGAAGCCTAAAATGAGGATTTTTCCTATCAAGATGGCTTGAGACTATTAGGATCACTAAAAAATGCACACACTCGATCGAGATGAACACAAAGAACAAAAACAATTCAAGAAAAAATATTGGCTAAAGGTTTTATGGATGACTTCAGGTATATATAACAAGAGAGAACACAGAAAATAAAGAAAAGTACATTTTGAGTAGTGATGGGTATATATATGGTTTCAATTTAATAAATATAGCTTCCAAAGATTTAAACCTACATATCATCTAACAAATATATCTCTATCAAATCTTTACCAAATATCTACCATATTTATCTCTATCAAATCTTTAAGAAATATCTTCCAAATATATCTCGACCAGATCTACGCATCAGGCTACATATCCCATACATTATCCCAACAGAGACTCCATTTCTCTCGGTCCATGGCTTATTAGAAGGCTAGCAAGTAAGCCAATAACTCATTAAGAGATGAAGTTGAATCTCCACCCCTTAAGGTTATTGAAATAAAAAGAATATTACTAAGTACGTAAAGACATTATCCATTTAACCCACTCATAGTTTACAAACGATCCTACAAAGATTGGGAATCTTTTCTTGAAGTCATCAATTT